GCAAAACGGCTTGCTTTGCGCGGGAAGGACTTTGTCATGGAGATGAGTGAATAAAACGTATGAACCCTGTCCCATGGCGGGCGACTTTTAAACACTCGGTGCTTGAAGGGGGAGAATCACAAATACTGAACGGTGGTTGCGGTGGTTCTTTGGCCGTCTCAAAATCATCGCAAGCTGTCACGACCCGGTGCTATTTTTGTAGCCGACTTCGACGACGTCCGACGTACGACCCTTTGGCAGCAGGAGGGCGAAAATAGCCATGGCAGCCGCTGAGTGAAAGTTAAACCTCATGGCCCGACCGGCGACGAACCGCCTCGGGCGGCGGCGGCGGAGGCGGAGGCGGCGAACAGCTGCAATCGCTCAAGGCTCCTGGCGACTATCGCAAAGCACATCTGCCAGACTGTTAACATTTTGCGAACTCGCAATTAGCATTGTCAAGTGAATCTAGATGCTTCTTCTTTTCATTAGCTGCAACTCACTCATTCAGCATGCCGCCAAGGCACGGGAACTCTGCAGGAACTTTGTTAACAAGCTTTTTCTACTGGAAGAGTGAACGACCGTCGTACCCGTCCGCCGTATGGCTTACGATAGAAAGCGAGGGCGCTTTTTTGACTTTTTGACACTGTTACTCATTCTTCACCCAACTAACATGGCAGCATTATTCCTTAAGTCACACAAATGTGGAAAAAACGCAAGATGAAGACGTGCAGCAGATTTGTGTGTCTCCGCGGACACTCACGAGACTATAGATACAACCTCATGCACCTTGTGTTACGGTGCGGTGCTGTTTCTTCTACAGGAGATCAGCAGGCTCCTGGTAGTACGGTAATCTTTGGTGAACACATGTCCTGTCATAGACGGAGCATGTCAGAGGTTAGACCCATGAATCACTCGTTGAAAGGTTGGACAAAGAGTTTGCCCCCTCCGTTATTGTCAGCCTCTCCCACAAAAATGCCGAACACGCTTTTCCTAACAATCACCAAAGCAGGGTAACTACCGGCAGAGGAGCAGTTGCACTTGCTTTGAATGTACGTCTGCTGCATGAAGCCTTGTTGGCATTAGACATTCGAACAACTCAGCTACGCGTGCACCACGCAGTCAAAGCCTGGACGAAATGAAAGCTCACGATGTGCTTAACGCTTTAAAAAAAGTACATGCATATGAGTAGTCTGTACTTAGTACATTGCTGAAATACACCCACGAATTTGAGCACTGTTTCCAAGATTATCCAGCTCTTGAATAATTTAATGTACAGTACATAGTAACCCTCATAACTCTTGGAAGGTCTGGCTTCACGCAGAGCCTGACTTCATGATGCCTGAACTCTTAGAGTGCCTCATTGCACTGATTTGATCCGTACTTTTGAGTAATGTTTCAAGATCAGCTATCCCTTATAAACAGCAACATCAACATTAAGAACATTTTGTTTCGTGCGCCTGTTACGAGCAGTGCTCTACTATTGGCACAGTTTTACTCAAGGTAATTCACAGTGTAAAACGCTGTCAATGACGCCGGTGTGCTGCGTCGATTCGCTTCGCTTAACGAAGCATTTCACGTCGTGATTTTCGATCGTTCCCTTGAGCCATGGACCTAGAAGCAAACAACATTAACTGATATTCAAACAGGCGACGAATCGGCTACCTTCGTTCGAAACTGTCTGAATGAATGAACCAGTTCTTCACTTTTAGTTGCCTGGTCGGAGTGTTCTTCTCCTCTAGCGAACACCACTAAACCTCTGAGAGGTCAGTCAGCCGGTGATTGGCACGATGTCCTATGCGCAGTGCGTCGTTTCTGGTTTCGCACCGGATCTTCGGAGCTACTAGAGTTATTGGATGGAATATATTCTACCGTACCTGGCGTCAGCATGCCGTCTCTTGTGTTGATCACTGAAGACATGGTCTGTATTTCGAGACTCCACAGCTGCATTTGATGTTTGCCAGGCATTGCACTTGCTTTCTAGCATCATTTATACTCACCCGCCACAGGTGACGTGAGTGACAAATCGGCAAAGATGGGCGATGGTCGGAACGACTGTGACAGAAACGCGATACTCACATAAAACTGGCCTGTTTTCGTCGGAATCTAGAAAACCATGCTTCTGCAGTTATTTATTACAACGTTATAAGCAAACAGGAAGTAATAACGTGCCGACTTGCAACAGTGATGTTTGTTTACATTTCAGGTTAATTGGGGACTTCATTAGGTTCTTTTCATAGTTTACACGAACCTCGAGCTGTCACCATGAATCGCGTGGGGTTCCTATAACGGAGACCCGTCGCTATCTGGTTAGCAGAGGAACGCTACAGTAGTTTTCGAATGAGCCCTCTTCCTAAGACTCCAATGCGTCAACGGTTGACCCATGAAAGGACCGTACGTTTGTCAAATTTTAAGACCTACCATGGCATAGTGATTAACGAAATGCTATTGGTAGCATTAATATTTTTCAGTCAGTGCAATGCAGGCTTTGGTGGTCCAATCAGCGATGACTTTAAGATCACTCATATGCAAATCATTAAAAAAATGTTGAAACAGGATTCAAACGCGAAGCTCCTTTCGCAATCCGAAATGAAAGATGAACTCCGAAATCAGATGATAAGAACAAATTTGTCATCAATATGTTTACTAGTAAATCTGAACT